GATTTCAGTACGAGCGGGACAATGGGAGCAACAGACCACCTTGTTGGGTGTTCACATATGAATCATATGAAGCGATAGAATCGGTATGTACATTCATTGGTGAATAAGAAACAACAACGCATATGAATCATATACACATATGAACTATCATACGGACACACACACACCCACACATACACACACGCACAAGCACACGCACACGCTGACATACATGTCCACTGCAAACTATATATATATATATATACACACACACACATTTGTGTACAGTACATATATATATATACATATTAATATATGTACGTAAGGAATCCCAACAATAAAATCATGACCACTAATCACTTTCCATTGTAGCCATGTTCTCAAAACACCAAACTGCGCAGGCTACGGCTTCCTGGGTGCGGGCAAGACTCATGGCTGCGATGGTGGAGGTTGTTGTGCCATTGATGGGATTGAAGATAAGTGAAGGGAGATATGGGGATGGATCAATACCTATGAATTACCATAGTTGGGAAAGATGAACATCTATGACTACCAACCATTTTGGGATTCACCAGAGTATCAGGTTTTCAAACGTACCGTGACGAGCAAGCACGATTTTTTTCATGATGGGTCATGGTATACTTTCCTACCAGTCTCTCTACATATACACATTTGACATACATGTATAATCAATTATAATCATGTATACATATGTATGTATTTTTGTACAATGTACATATGTATATATATATATATATACACACATTATAGGCTAGGGAGCTCAGTGGCTCTTAGTCAGAGACATGTGGCTCACAGCCAGATCTGGCCGAGGAACTTCATCTTTAACTTTGACCCCATTGAGTTCAAGGATCCTGAGGCGTGGATGGTGCTTGAAACACCTATCAGTAAGAGATGATCCATGTAATCGATGTATGTACATAAATATGACTCAATATCTGTATATATCTGTCTATGCGTCCATCTGTCTGCCTCTCCACCTACCTACCTACCTACCTACCTACCTACCTACCTAGGTAGCCTAACCTAACCTAACCTAACCTAACCCTACCCTACCTACCTACCCATCTATCTACCTAGCTATCTAGCTATCTAGCGATCTAGCGATCTATCTATCTACTATCCATCTATCTACCTACCTATCTATCTATCTATCTATCTATGAGTCACTGTAACTACGTATAATTATAAGTGCCAAGATTCAACATATGATAACATGCAGATATCAAAGGTGAGTACTCAAGTGATATCCACCCATTGCATGGCTTGCACTGGCTAGGTGAGGAAAACCAAGCTGTCGGCCGAGATTGCCAACGGCCGCTTGGTCACTGGGCAGCAATCATTCCATGTACTGCCGCGATACAAGTGAGGTATGCATCAGGTACATGAGGTACGCATATGGGTTTCTACATTTTAACTAGATACTCAGACACAATATAATTACAAAAATGGACAAATAGATAGACAACTATATGCACATAATAATATGTACCTTTACAGGAATATATTTGACTTTTTACATGTACACATCACATCAATCCAACCAGGATCCCCACAGCCTCAGGCCATGGTTGCCTTGATGGCAATGCTCTTCCAAAACGGCACAGTGGGCACCACCGGCCCTGCAATGTGGCTGCCTGCTGCCTAGGTTGGGATCTGGGGGTTTGTGGTTGCCAATGATTATGCTTATGAATGATGATTAGTGATTGTTAATGATTATAAATTTAAATGCTTATGCTTAATGATTAGTGATTATTAATGTGTATCAATGTACATCTTATATATCTATATTGACACACACACACAATTATTCATATAGATCTGACCTCTTGTCCAAAAAATATGTGGTTGGGAATGGGCTTGACACTGAGCAGGTTAGAGCTGCCAGCAGCTACGTTTCCATCTCCACTTGAACTTGAACATGCAGTGAGTCGAAAAGAGTTTGCTGCGCTGGTCGGGATTCCTCATCGCTGATGTGCCGTGAAACCATAGCTGCCATAGCTGATCTTTGGACGATGGCTTCTGATGGGATTTTTGTCCCTATCCATTCTTACGCATTCAGACCCGCATATCGTCCTGTGCATGAATGTTGAGTTGTAGCTCGTTATACCCAGTCGCTTTGCCGTACAAGATCGCCTGCCATTTCATTGGACAAATTGCGATCATGAATACAACGCTGTCAATATGTGCTGCCAAGATCCAGTCTAGTCACTGGTTCCCAAATACCACACGCAACGCCGTAAGACCAGTTAGCCAATTGGCCAATTACTCAGTGCTGTCAGATATTCATTTTCCGCCTTGCCACTCCGAATGCGCTCAATCAGCCTTGATTTCTCCAAAAAGATGAGGCCAGTCACGTCAAAAACTGTTTGGCTTGAAGAAAGACGAAGCATTCCAAGTTTGATACGTCCGAATCGAACATATTGCTCAACTTTTGGAAGTAAGCATTCCCATGTGATACCGTGGCGTAGAATTCTTTCTCTTCGGGCCGAGGCCTAATCTTGCAAGTGTGGAAACAGTATCGCGGTCAACCCTTATAGACATGCAGGTCTTTTGCATCGGCTTTGACTTTTCACAGCGTGGTATCAATTTCAAGGTAGGCAGTGGCCAATCACTCCAGACGCCCAGGGCACCTGTAAGCACTAACCTTGCGCCCGAAACGAGCGCCAACAATGCACCAGACATTCAGACATTACGTGAAATATCATGAAATTACACTATGAAATGTACGAGTCAGGATAGTCAGGACAGAACAACCAACGAAACCCAAACCCAAACCTTCGCATCAGACACAAAATCAATTCGCCTCCGAAACCAAACCCACTGCGTCCAACAATGACATCCATGTGAAAACGATTACGTGTCATGAACAAAATTATATAAAGCATTATAAAGCTATGGAAACCTGACCCCGGCTTTAGAGATCAAAATCAAATTATATAGTAAATTATCTACAAACCTAAGTGTGCAATGTAGCTTTTATTTTTGCTACCTATATGCCTATACTGTATACCCGACACAGAACAGGCGATGCAGATCGTGCACTCATGCACCCCTATTTGGACAATCATGACAATGTATCCGCGACCAAAATAGGTCAAATTGATCCAACTTAATTTGCGACGATTTGGATGAGTTTTAAAGGGTGCTGCCGGTTAGTAGTTTTCGGCTATCGGCTGACTCGCCGTCCCAAAAGGGTTGTTACTTTTCGTTCTTTCTGTTCAAGTGGATGTTGTGCAAAGTATGCTTCGGTCATGTTGGGGGGCTAATAACATTTGTTTTGTTTTGGTGATGCTTATCATGCTAATTACGTCAGCACATCTTCTGCTACGCGTGCGCGTGCATGGCATTGCTCGTTAACAGGTTTTCTGTCACGATACTCTGCATGCTACAGTACGCTAACGGATCCCCATTCTGCGCTAACAATTTCTCTGCCGCGCTTGTGCGTACACTGCATGCTACGCTGACAGATCTTTTGCCAGGCTTGCACATACATTGCACGCTACGCCAACAGATTTTCTGCTACGCTTGCGCATACAATCTGAGGGACCCGCAAGAGAAAGGGTCCAGGGAGGGAACTAGATTCTTATTGGGACCCTCTACGGCGCGCAGTCATCATACCAACGGTCCTGTGCGGATCAGTTTGTTCGACCAATTTTGCAAGAAACCAAATTTTGTGTTTGTTTTGGACATAGCTACACCTACTCAGGAAATATATATATGGAAATATAATGAAATATAACGCTTTCTTCTTTTAATTTCTCAGTTTTAGAAACCATGAATTATGAACTTTAGCACTTGTATATTTCCAGTTTCGTAGTTCGCTCCGGTGCACCCGTCGGATAATAAAAGTGGCGCAAGGACCTCAACCTGTCTGATGGTTTGAATTTGGTTCGGTCAATTCAGCTGTCACCATGCGCATGAAACAAGGCCTGCTGCAATGAATCTAACGATGACCTTGGATGACGCTCAACATATGTTTGTAGTATTTTGTAATGATGTTTGAAAACCATGCATGTGCTTCGTTTCTAGCATTCATAAACGGTTTCCAATGTTTCAAGTGTCTGCGACGGTATGAAATCACTTTGGGGTGACGAACGGCCACATGCACAACAGCATGCACGCAACGATGATCCAACCCAATCGCAATCATAAAAACGTTCCGGGTTTGAACAATCAGCCAATAGGAAATCCAATTGAACTCGGATCCAGCGAACGTTCATATGTCCTGTTTGCGCAGTCAACCAGGGCCAACCGATTCAAAATATCCACGGCTGTTCCTCGGTCCGTCACTGCATCCAATGACATCAATATCGTCAAGATCAAGACACCTTCCAATACAAACATTGAAATCACAAACTAACAAAGGAAAGGCTCCATCACGAGCACATTTTTCCAACAGGACATTGAGCAATTCGTTCACCTCTTCCACTGCTTCATCAATATATTAGAATATATGTAAGATAGAATGTCCGATGCAACGCCATTAAAATGCTGGAAAAATGTCGGGTGACATATCAGATTTAATGACCTCTAAACTTTAACGGCAAAACAAATTCGATAGAACGGCGGATTGCTGGAAGTAATTCCCCACATCTTTGTGTGGGGTTCTTGTTTTTGGTTCTGCACTCCCGCCCCGTCCCCGTCCTGTCCTCCCGCCGCCTGCCTCACACACAACTTACTCACACAGAACTTGTCCACACACAACTTACTCACACACAACTTGTCCACACACAACTTACTCACACACAACTTGTACTCACACACACACAACTTGTCCACACACAACTTGCTCACACACAACTTGTCCACACACAACTTACGCTCACACAACTTGATCACACACAACTTGATCACACACACAACACACACACACAACTTGCTCACACACAACTTGTCCACACACAACTTGTCCACACACAACTTACGCTCACACAACTTGATCACACACAACTTGTCCATACACACAACACACTCACACACAACTTGCTCACACACAACTTGTCCACACACAACTTACTCTCACACAACTTGATCACACACAACTTGTCCACACACACATACACAACACACACACACAACTTGCTGATGCACAACTTGTCCACACACACAACTTACGCTCACACAACTTGATCACACACAACTTGTCCACACACACAACACACACAACTTGCTCACACACAACTTGTCCACACACAACTTACTCTCACACAATTTGATCACACACAACTTGTCCACACACACACACACACAACACACACACAACTTGCTCACACACAACTTGCTCACACACAACTTGTCCACACACAACTTACGCTCACACAACTTGATCACACACACAACACACACACACAAAAAAAAACTTGCTCACCCACACAACTTGTCCACACACACACACACACACACACACACAACTTGCTCACACACAACTTGTCCACACACACAACTTGCTCACACACACACACAACTTGATCACACACAACTTGTCCACACACACACACACAACACACACAACACACACAACACACACAACACACACACAACATGCTCACACAGAACTTGCTCACACACAACTTGCTCACACACAACTTGTCCACACACAACTTACTCACACACAACTTGTCCACACACAATCACACACAACTTACTTTGCGCGGCAGGAGTGGCACTTGGTGACATCGACGTGCATTCTGCGTGGCAGGTGTGGCACTTATGGCACTGGACTGGCTCTGGTGGCGCGCTTGGGTACTTTGGTCGCCGCGGCTGTTTGTGTGTGGCAGGCGTGGCACTTGGCGACATGGACCGTCCCTTTGCGTGGCCGTGGCACTTGGCGACATCGACGTGCATTCTGCGTGGCAGGCGTGGCACTTATGGCACTGGACTGGCTCTGGTGGCGCGCTTGGGTACTTTGGTCGCCGCGGCTGTTTGCGTGGCAGGCGTGGCACTTGGCGACATTGACCTTCACTTTGCGTGGCAGGCGTGGCACTTATGGCACTGGACTGGCTCTGGTGGCACACAACTTTGTCACAGATTCCTTTCGCGCACAACTTTGTCACACAAGCCTTTCACACACAATTTTGTCACACAACTCTTTCACACACAACTTTGTCACACACAATTCGTTCACGCATAACTCTTTCACACACAACTTTGCCACATACATCTCTTTCACAAACAATCTTTTACACAACTTTGTCACGTACGACTCTTTCACACTCAACACTTTTACATACACAAACTTACACACACACACAACACTGCCACACACAGCTCTTTCACCCAACCTGTCGTGCACCATCTCCTTTCCTTCCTGCCTTTCCCATCTCATTTTCACATCTGCTTGGTGGGGTTATCCGGTCCTTTAATGCACTCTTTCCTCAGTTTAAGTTTAATCTTGGTTTATGTAGGAAAGGTCGGACAATTGAACGCAATTGGCAATGCCCAGGTACAAGTGCATGGGGTCAAACATTGAAACCTTCAGATGGCAACTTGATGCACCATGATGCGCCACCGTCCACCGGACGTCAACCACACCAGCTGCGCCATCCATGCTGTTCTCGCGGATGTGAGCGGCGTGGGGGCTGCCGCAAGCTGCCACCTCCTTGACAATTCGCCTGGGAATACGTGGCGAAATAACCTTAACGCACG